TCAACATTAAAAGCCAAGATTTTAACAGAGATGATAGTAAATCAACATATAGTCATTGCTTATTACATTTAGTAAGTTTGAAAGGACTGGGTGTAAAAACGAATGCAAAAACACCATTCAAAACATAACACTAGCGCGCGCAACGTGATAAATTATTACCCTTTGGAGCCACCTTTAGACACTTTTTACTTTAACACTCCAGCTCGTTTTGTGCGCGCTACAAATGAAGAACTATTCGAGTATGACCTAAGGGCGATCACGTATACGTAAACTAGTGCATAGGGAAGTAAGCTGGGGGTTCACGTATCAAGTAGTTTCCTTTTAATCCTATTCAGACCAGGTGAAGGGAGCGCTCAAGCTAGCTGCAGCCTTATATGGACCAGGCTTTGAGACCAGGGTGGAGAACTCAGAGACCCTCACGCTGCTATTCATGGAATATCTAAGTACGGCAATGAAACTGAGAAGCTTTATGAATGGTCCACAACTTTCCTTTCAGATCCAGAACATGGAACTATGAAGAGACTATGTGGAGACCTAGGAGTTAGAATTTATTACTAAATAAGCGCGGAACCGTTGATTCTGATAAAAGGAAAAGCTACGGCACCTTAATATTGACTATACGAGCAGAAGTAACTAAGAAGTTACACACGTAGGGATATTATTAAAATGTGTGTGTGTGTGTGTTGACCCTTTATTTAGACCAACGAAAAAACAGAAAGTGCACTTTAGGCTCCATTGCCAGTCGCTGTTCGAACTCGAGAGAGCGGCGGAAATCGAGCCAGCACTATAAGCGTTTCTGACTTTTTCTCCGAATATTAAGTAAAATCTACCGCAGTTGGAGACTTCTCCTGGAATTTACCTTGGAACAATTTGATATAACAGACTCTTTAACTCGTTCCCACTGTATGCCATTGGTTTCACTGAGCTTACTCAAAATTTTGGAGGCCATGTCACTCGTGGAGGGGTGGTGGCCTAATGTTTAGTGCGCTCGACTCCGGATCGAGCGGTCCGGTTTTAAGGCCTGACTGGGGACATTGCGTTGTGATCTTGGATGAGAAACTTGACTAGCAAAGTGCCTCTCTCCACCCAAGTGCAGAAATGGGTACTGGTGAATTTGATGCTGAGGGGTAACTCTGCAATGGACTACATTAAATATTTTAGCGAATCATCAGTCAGATAGTGCGTAATCAGATCAGCGTTCTCGACTTAAGGAAACAATTGCTCCGTGGTAATGCGGAGACGGACGCGCGAAGGACAATAACTTGCACTCTAACAGTTCAACTGCAAACCATTTAATCAATCGACACCCTGAACGTACAGCCAACTTGTACACGACACGTCTACTCGTAAAAATCGCACTACAAATGTGGGTCTTCCTTATGTACCCCTGCATCAAGAACTCATTTCTCATTAAGTATCGATTAACTATTCGCAGTATAACCGTCTATTNTATAATGCTGTATTTTTGTTGACAATCTATTGCTTTTCAATGTTCGATCTGCTATGAATAACACCTATCTAGAACCAAATTACTCCGGAACCACGGTAAGCGCACATCTTAAAAACAATACACCTCCAGTATATGACAAGCCTGGGACACGAACACCACTTGCATCCACAAACAAACCGAAACCAAGGGAAGCAGATCCTGAAGGAAAACCAACAGGATAGCCTGCCAAAAAATGCCAAGAAGATTTGAAGGGCGTGGGATCGACAGCTCCAAGATGGGCACTTCCATATCATCTGGGAGAAGGCTCTCCATACTAACGGGGTGTCACAACTGCAGGGATTTCCAAAAGGCTGGCAGCAGTGAAGAGGACCGCCACGATGAATAATACATCTGAGGAATGGAAAGAAACCGTAAACTGTTTTGCAATTCATATTTTATTCGAAGGAAACAACATTTAGGGCAGTACTTTTAGAAAAACTCCAGCTTTGAATATTTGTTATCTTTTATACAACTGGAGAAATTTCACAGATTTTCTTCCATTCGTTTTAAATTTTCTGATCGCAGCTCTAATCTTACCAGCTTAACTGTTGTTGATTAAGGCTATTCAATTATAATTCCGTTTTCACCAGTCCCGTTAACACGTCCTGATTTTCTCTCGGGGTAAATTATTGTTGCTTAAGCTATTCGAATGGACGTGCCTAGTTTGCTAGGCATCTAAGGGAACTCGAGCTGGAAAATCCAAGATGGTGAACACTGAAACTATTGGCATCCCGTTAAAGTCTGAATTTTTTTTTTCAGGCCTTAATTGTAATTGTGATGACCAATCATGTCTTCATATCTTTCTCCGCAGTTCAAATATATGATCTTTCATATATTCACTTGTAGTCTTTCGCACCATCTACGGGTATATTACAAACTCACAATGTGACTAGCTCCTAGTTGGCTTGTAGCTCAGCTAGTAGAGCACAGCACCGGTATCGCAGAGGTCATGGGTTCGAATCCCGTTCAGGCTTGAATTTATTTAGGCTTTAATCTCACAGCTGCTTTAAAAAATGAGTGTATAACTGCGATGATCAGTCCTGTCGTCATATCTTTCTCCGCAGTTCAAATATATGATCTTTCATATATTCACTCGTATCTTCACCATCTACGGTTATATTACGAACTCACAATGTGACCAGCTCGCAGTTGGCTTGATAGCTTAGTTGGTAGAGCACTTCTACCGATATCGTAGAGGTCATGGGTTCGAATGAAGTTAAAGCCTGAATTTTATTTTTTCAGGCTTCAATTTAACAGACGCCTGAGGAGTGTGTGCAACTGTCCTGCTGCGATGATAAATCATATCTTCATATTATAATATCTGTTGATAATGACGCCCAGATATTTAGTAGATATCACTTGATTGATATCATTATTTTAAAATAAGTTAGCTTTAAATTTGAAGTAGAATTTAATTTAAAATAAATTTTAAGCTCTTTTGAGATATGCGCTAATCGAGGTGTCATCAAGCATGAAAGACATATAGCAAACTTAGCTTTCAAGATTCACGAGGGTAACAAACAATTCCGGGACATTTTGTCACCTGTCATGCTCCATACACGCGCCATCTAATCCGTCTTTTGGCGGGAGGCACCTACGACAGGCACTGTTCACATAGCTTGTGGTAGTCTTGCAAACGCTCTTACAAGATTTCTTTGGGTACTTTGCGTAACCACCCTGGAAGGGCCCACACCAGTTTCCGTACCACCAGTCCCATCCCCCTCCCGGCCGTTGTCCAATCCCACGGCGGCGACGTCTTGAGGTCATCGACATTTCATCGGCTAGGCTGTCATTGTTAAATGATGTCGTTTGGTTCATTAGCTGTGTCAAGTTGGACGATGTTTCCTGAATTTTATTCTCTACCTCAGGATCTGTGGATGGATCAATGAACCATTCCGTGAGCGGAAATAAATTCTTGTCTGTTCCGATTAGTTGTTTGTGTTTCCATGCACACGTTTGAAACTCACACGACTGTGTGATGGCGCTTTGAAAACAAAAAAGAAAAGATATGTTGTACTATATATGCCTTTATATGTTTATTTGTTTCCATCGGTAATTTACATGTTGGTTGGATTGTCAGAGAATAGAAACAATCAAAAACTTCTAGAAAACTTGTAAAATCCTTTAAACTTTAATGTTTTCAGAAGTATGACGCGCAATTATTGCCTAAGTTTAGTAAGTTGAAAAAAAAATAATAATAATAATAATAATAATAATAATAATAATAATAAACAGGTTGCGAATAACTTACAAAGCTTCGAGTCATTTGACTGGTAGAAGGGTTCCTCAATGGTGTCGTTCTCTTCAATATACCTGTAGCAGTTTAGTTGTTTATAATCCGTGAAGTTCAGTTCCTTTTCCTTAGAACGCATATGAATGCTACCGTTTGGGAGATGCAGATAGATCTAGGAGAGATATTTAAAAACTGAAATAAAGTGACGAAGAAATTATCATTTCAATGAACAAACCTATGGACGAAAAAACGCGAAATATATATGCAAACAGAGATATATAATCCCGAAGAAGAGCAGTCCATTGATAATGTTTCTTTTTGCTCTAAAAGAAGGTTTCAGATCTTACCTCGTAAATCTTTCCATTGTGCCCTCTCGCTCGATAAACGTCCACATCAGTGTCATTATCAACTTGAAATAGGACATGAGACATATTTCCCTCGACGCTTTCCTGTGACAAGGAGATTTATTAAGTGGTTATTATGTTAAGTGGCATGGTGTTTGATCTCTGTAACTATACGAGTTCTAAAATAATCGAGGATAAATCTCACACTTTTTGTTGCAGTAAAAATCATATAGATGCATTGAATATCACTGACTTGCTAGACTTTTGGCTCTTCTCTTCTACCACATTAGACTAAAAAAATTTCTTTAATTTTTCTTTTTTTCTTTTAAGTTATCTAGCTTACCGATTTAAGGGTAGCGTGTTTCAGTAAATGCCTCGGAATCATGTCCCCTTCAAGATCAGTATAAATGCACTTTGTTGTTGAATTTCCATTCTCTGGAACAATAAAATACTTTCTTTGCTGCAAGATAAAATGTAATACCGAATAATCCACAGGTAATTTAGTTAAGTAAACAAACTTAGAATTAATAATAATAAATTAATTAATGTATCAGTTGCTTTAGCCGAGGAGCAACCCTCTACTAATAAACGGCATTACTCAAAAATCCCCCACGCACGGCCCCCTCCACACTTCCCCCCCCCTCCCCCCAAAAAAACAAAAGTCCAACCGATGGTGCCAGGGTGCGAACTCAAACCGCAAACGCAAAAATTTCGGAGTAGGTGACGACCTTCCCAGTGAAGGCGCTGTCAGCAGCTGAATACTCAAGATTTTGGAATTAAAGAACTCTATGAAATGGTGTTAAGCTTAATAAAAACGAACTTAAAGTCACAAATCACCTTTGAATTGGTACCTTTGACTTTCCTGGTACAAGAAGGGAGATTTTTGTACTGTATATTTCTTATTTGATGTTTACCTCTGCCCCTGGTCTTTTATATTTGAGCGTATTGGGAGATTTTTTCTGTTTGTTTGTTTTTTTCGTTTTCTGTAATAACTCTGCTACAAATTTGGTATGGCATTAAAACTCACCGCGTTGTAGTCCTGTATAACGATTTTTGTTGCATTCATTCGCGTGCCGTTTGCTGTATTGTTTTCTTCGTAGGACATGAGACGCCTTCCAAACAACTGCGGTGATGCTGCCAGATCATTCAATGAAGTTAGTTGGATGAGCTTCCTCTTATAATCGATCATGACATGGAAAACCTCTCCTTTGCCGTCATCAGCTGTAAATGTAGCTTCTCCTTCCATAATTTCCGGTAAATCTGGATTGGAATTAAATGCACCGGCTGCGTAAGCTGACAAAACAGCAACGGCTGCCAGGGAAATGCCAACCAAAACTGCTGCTGTCCTAGAGGCCCGGGTAGAAAGACACTTCTTTTGCTTGAATCCAACTGTACAGAAGTAAAATTGTAAAATTTATTTACTCAGAAAAGATGAGTAGCTGGGGGGGGGGGATTAGTGTAGAAACCTGACCAAATGCTATTTAAGACTTGAAAACCCCACCCTATCCCGTGACACATACCTATATAGGCCATACATGGGAATACCCCCCCGGATCTACGGCCATCCTATTAGTAAGGGACCTCCGCAAACAGAAGGAAGACAGTTGTCGCCAATTAAGAAACACAAGTACTTGCACGTCGGTTACACTCCTTGTATAGAGCTGCAGGTTGCTCGTCATCTAATTTAGCTGGAATACAATGCTTTGATATGAAGCTTTAGCCATTGCTAACTTCCAGATGCCTAGGGGCATTTCAATCTGTCTTAAGCAATGGAAAATTCAGCTGAATGTCGGGCCATCAGAGCCACAAAAAGAGAGAGAATTTGGCTGTGACTACAATACCTTGATGATCTGCCCTGTCGCTTCTTGGTTCTCTCTGTGTTGTGTTTTCCGCCATAATAACAGCAGCTTAAGGTGAAATAAGGCTTAAGAGAATAAAGAAAATGATGTCAAGAGAAAATTGAGAAAAACAGCTCACGATTTTAAGCTTTTTGATTTGATCGTTCCGTGCGGAGCGATCAAATTAAAAAGCTTAAAATCGTGAAGCTATGAATTAGCTGATAACCTAAATATTAATTACTTATAGTAAGCACCGTCATAGAAGTAGAAATTTATAGACAGAAACACGTTACCTCTGAAAAAATGGTGGAAATGTGTATAGTGTAGAGTGCAGGAGGTATCTACAGCAAATCAGATAGTCCACCTTAATAAGTGTAAAATTTGATTAATTCTATTCTGCTGTCAAAAGCAATTAGACTTCGTTCCAGATACGATCACAAATAATCAGAGACCAATGCGGGTTACAACAATCCGGAAAACAAAACTAGTCAAACTAGTGTCAGGCTTAAAACAAATTTAGACGAAAACGTTTAAATATTTGGTTTCAAGATGTAAATTGGCCCCTTCCGAGACTAATTGTGTTAATTCACTTGTCGATGTTTCATGCAAACAAACCCTGTCCTTCATTCCGAAGTTGTTAGCCTTAAAGATAAAAGAGTGCAAACTTCATTAAAATTATACACCGAAAATGAAGTACAACTTGATTCCAGGAGAAAAAAAGTAAGGAAACATGGCCACACATTAGCATTAAAGCAATTACCTCCATAACAGGTAGCGTAGTTGCTATTTATAGGAACAGATTCAGTCTGAGTCCAAGCGTGGGCAAAAGAAAATGTCGAAAGAATAATAATAGAAAAATGGGGAAAAAAAATTAAAGCAAGCAAAGATAACCCTTTGGTTGTTGATAGGGGAGGATAACAAAGGATAGCAATAATCAACGAGACCATTGTTACCTGTGCATTAGACATAAAAGAAAATCACTGTCCCAAAACATTGTTTCAAACATCACTTGAGCGCAAATGTACAATGGGGTAAAGAGCCCGAGATACAAACAAATTAGATTTCTAACATCTATTCAATGTGAGTGTTTATTTTTTCCTTACATTCAAATAGGGTACATTCTACACTCATTTCTCTTTTTTCGAGCATACATGAGCCGGCTCTAAGAACATCTTTCATTTAATTATCAAAAAAGCCTGGATAAAAATGCCTCTGGATGTTTTACAAGATGTCACATGATTGCTTCAAAGTCGGCAGCCAAATATAACATAACAAGTCAAATTTTCTTCAACCGTATTGGTATGGAAAGTATACATATCTAACATTAGAAAATATACTAATGAATGTCACAAATAGGGGATTTGGAGGTCTTATGTTGTAGTTATAAACTTCAGTTTCATCATAATTTAAGGCGTATGAAGTCAGCAACAAGGCAGGACTGTAGATTGTCCAAGCTGTTCTGAGCTGACCTCCGATTTCAGACGATGAAAATCCACAGAAGTTGAAAATATAGATCTCATGAAACGATGCAGCAACTGTGGGAAGAATATGAACGGTGAAATACTGGAAATCTCGGAATTCTGCAGCCCCTTGTCCTTCTGAGAGGCAAACCAATAAAACTATCCACGCTATAGCATTTATGGTGGGAAAACACATTTCGAAAATTATTTTGGAAACGCTGTCGAAACACACAACGTAGTTCAGCAAAAATGAAGAGAAGAACGCAATTTGTAAAATGCAAAACCACGAACAAAGATACTTTGTGTCTGGCGATTGCTTTTGAAAAACCAGTTGGCAAAGTACACAGAGCAACGCTGTAATGTAAAGACAGGTCCATACTATGAACACGAATTCCACAGTGGCAGATTTTCTGCAGCTTATTCTTGTTAGTTGCTTTGGTCGTGTTTTGACTAGTGTCTCGATCTTTGAACAAGTCAAAGCACAAAACATACACAACGTGTTAAGGTAGATCAGTTCAGACGCTGCCAACATGATCGCATTGCAACTGCTAACTACGCCTCGACTGTAGCTTCACTGTGTGTCCAACCTCATTGGGTGTCCCCTCCTCTCTTGGTATGAATCTACACAGCGAAATATTAACCTCATCAGAAGCTGTCACAGGGCGGTAAAAGTGCTGGCTTCGGGTATCTCTGTGTGCATCTGGGCCAGAGATATTTATTCATATCTCTCTCTTTTAATCAGTAAACGGACGGTTAAGCGTCAAAGCCATACAATACCTTGAAACTAGTAAGAAAATTAATAAAACTGAAACGTCAATCAAAACGTCAGGCTTATGCAGCAAATTAACTTTAGTTGGAAAGTCTGTCAGCCGGGAAGTATTTCTAAGCATTGTGCAAACATGGCGGCTATAGCATTGCTAGCCGGATAGGATAAGCAATGCAAACGGCTAATTTAATTTGTACTGGACACATTACAGAAAGACGCGTATGCTATGAGCGGCGGCCATTTAAACAGAGAAAAAAAACAGGAACGACCATCTCTGATTTCATTTATAGCAGTGAAACTAATTACCTTGGAAACCATGCAAGCCGAGTTTCTTGTTAGACTGGGCTCGTAATGGGATATACATGTGTTATGAAGGGCCAGGAGTTTTTTTTGAAGGCAAGGTCAAGAAATTAATGCAAAGAAGTCGAGACAAATAATGCTCTCATAGGGACTAGAAATTAAGAGGCTCACCATTTGAGATAGGATAAATGTAGAAGATAAGTTGTTTGTAGAAGGGCCAATAAGATAAGCTAAGAATGATAAGAGCACCCTATATTTTTTTAACGTTTTAACCGAGTTCAACAGTGACTAACACGAGAGACAAAAACTTGCCAGCGAATACAGTGTCCGTCTTATAAAGTTCAAACCTACTTAATAAATCCAATTAAGAAAGTGGAAAGGTATGCAAAAACTAATAAGCTAGGAATGTTCAAATATTTAGCTAACCGCATCTGAGTTAGTCTAGTTTGATAGTAACGCTGCTAATAATATTATCCAGAGGCGGCTTCCTACAATCTAAAAGAAAAAAGGAAAGGAAAGGGAAAAAACAAAAAAAAAAAAAAAAAAAACGTTACACAATACTGTTATGTATAGAACATGAGACGGAGAAGTTCAAATATTTAGTTCTGACGCAAAGGCGCAAAAAAGGACCGGCTAGGTAGTGTAGACTTTTCCCATTCAAGACTAATAGGGTGAGTTCATTTGTTTGGTTTACAAGCAAACAAGCTTTGTCGCTCCTTTTTGCATCTGGCAGTCTTTCAAAAACCAGTGAATGCAACTTTGGTTTTTAAACAAATTACGTACCGGAAACTACGCATGATTTTAATAAAGGAAAAAAAAAAAAAAGAAGAAGAAGAAGACAAAGCAAAACAGTTGCTTTCGAGGCAAAAAATGTGGCCGTGGCTTAGTACAGAAACAGACTGTGTAAAGTAAATGCAAAAACAGTTTTTGTTGCCTTTGAATAAATGGGAGTAACCAATCTACCTTTTCACGTTGTTATTTTAACATAGCTGTGCGTTGGCATGTAGATTCGTTAGCATGTAGGCTACGTAATCATGTGGTATGTCTGATTCATGTTTTAGTACATGTACAGGTATATGTTAGTTGTAATTAGCTATGCTAGGACCATTTAAGGTCGATCAATAAGCGAGATGACCCTCCTATGGACGTCTGGTTTTCTTACTTGTACTTATAACTTAGAGATCAATCTGTTGCCGTTTCACTGCAGTCAGAAAGGTATATAATTTGCAATCGACATCTTACAGCAGACGCGTATGCTATGAACGGCGCGCGGTCATTGAAACAGAGCAAAAAATAGAAACGACTAGTTCTGAATTCATCTAATTACCAGAAAAACCGTGCCAACCGAGTTTATAGTTAAACTCGGCTCGATATTTTATATACAGGCATTATGAAGGGCCAGGGTTTTACTTGAAGGTAAGGTGAAGATACTAATGTAAAGACGTCCAATCAAATAACGCTCTCAAAAGAGCTGAAGTTCAAGAGGTTCACCATTTGAGTTCAGATAAATGTGACGGTGTAACTGATAATCGGCCCTAATAAAAGAGATATGCTACGAATGATAGGGGCGGCTTATTTTTTTACATTTTAACACAAAGGCTTTACATGAGAGGAAAAAAAAAAAAAAAAAAAAAAAAACAGAAGTCAAGGGTTGGAGTTGGCATGATGTAAATGGAATTTACAGTTAGAATTTAACACACTGATTGATATACTTACAGCA